GTTATTCTCTCTAAACAAAACTCTGATATACTGGCCCTGTAATTGGAATTTATTTGTTCTTGCTGAGATTTTGCTTTCAGCTCTGAGTTACTGAGATTTTTGCCTCAGCCCACCTTTTTGTTTCATTGTACTTTGATCCTGCTGGCTAATAGGTTATATAAAATTAAGAAAGCACACAGATAAAATTATGTGTGCTTTCAAGATATCATTTCATTATAAGTGTTGAAATTTTTTATTCCTGTCAATTTTTCATTGATATGTTTTGTATCTTTTCAAACTTGCCAATGAATAATAATAATCCTCTTCATTATGAGTTCTGTTATTTCGTTTTATTGTTTATGGAGAATTAATTTATATTTATGTACTAAAATATAACATTCTTGACATCTCTTTATAAATACTGAGAAATATACTTGTCATGTGCTTGTGGTTTTTCTTCTACTTATATGACAGCACAGCTACATCAGTTTAATTGACCTTGGCAATCTGCATCTGCTAGTGATGTGTCCCTGAGGGATGGTTTCTGCAAATTTAAGCTGTGGCTTATTGAAGAACTTGTGTGTCACAATACAATTAAGTCTATATAAAAAAAATCATTTCATGCATAACATTAAATTGACTAAAAGTTCCTATTTCAAAACCATTTCTTGTTTTAAAGCTACCTCAGAGTGTCTTTGTTTTTTAAATAAGCTCATTTGAACATAGTAGTAATTAAAGCACAAAATTAACATAAATCTTGAATGTTTGGTATGATTTAAGGATGTTTTTGTTCTTTTTAAAGACTGCATAAAATTCCAGGTGCCATATCATGACACATTCTCTCCCATTTGCAGAATAATATAGACTGTGAATAAGCATGTTTTGGAGTTCTTATTCAAGTTAGTTTTCTATCCAACTGTGGAGCTACTAGGCCATATGCCATATTCTCCATCAAGATGCAACCCCATGGCAATATGTGGGAAAACTGTCCATGATTATAACAGCAGATCTCTTCTCCCCACCCCTATTATTTTATAAACAAGAAAGAAAAAATATAAATCCTTCTATTAATATTCATTTAACACTTCATAGGAAATGGTGCACAGTTATTTGGTTTACAAATGTAAATATACATTTTTCATCCACTTAGGTTTTCACTCCTTCTAAGTTAGATAAAGGCAGAACAGAAGACATGCTTCTGAGATTTATTTTTATTGTATCCCAAGTTGAATGCATCAGCAGAGATGTAAGAGTCTATAGAAGAACTGTTACAATGATGAGGACGATGAAAGTCTTCCTCCTAAGAAGTACTAAATAAATAAATTCCTTTCTGACAAATTGTGAATAAAAGACACTTGATATTTTTTCACTGAGTTCTTAATAAAAGTTCTAAGTTAAATACACTGGAGCTTAAAATACATTTAAATAATTATGGTCTTTTAAAGGTTATTGAAATAATGAAAGGCATTATTAGGATCCATAATCAGATAAGATTCAACAAAGTTTCTCTGTATTTGTGAGTATATTTCATTCTCTCTCTCTCTCTTACACACACACACAGAAATAGATTTTATTAAACAGTTATAGAGAGATTAGAGGAGAGATTCATGAATTCATTGAAACTGTTGAATTTGACTATGGATACACATACATATATATTACATATGATTATTAAGTCGAGTCTACTATGCACTCTACGGGTAAATGATACCATTTGATGTTCAAATGGAAATGTCATTCTTGAATTAGTTGTTTAGTGTCACTGATAGGAAACATTTATGACCTACTGGAGCATTGATCGTTGCCCATGTTTTACTTTTCTAATGAACCTTTGTGAATATTGATAAGTTAACGTATTAAATATTGAAATGAAAACAAATGATCTCTTTTTGATTGGTGCAAGCTCTGCCATAATATTAACAACATACTAGCTGGTTGCTTAACCTCTCATTTTTTAAAAATATTTGATCTTAAATGGGACTGTGAATATTTTAAATTTGAAAATCTCCAAAAGGAATAAGGGAGGGAATTCAATAGGTCATTTTCATTAGGAGACTGAAATAATTTTCAGTATGAAAGAAAAAATCTATTATATTTTGGAATACAGTGTCAGTTGTTTGATCATTAGGTGGATTATACAAATGATAAAATAATTAAAACAATTGATATTCATGGCCAAGACTCTAAATTACAAGTGAATCAAATGTTGAGGACAGAGAATATATTTTTAAAAGTAGGTATGAATATGTGTGTATGTTTAGCACATTAAAGAATATAATGAGTATACAATGGAAAGACCTGTGAATTAACTGGTGTTTTTGAATTCACAAATAAGTGCTTATGGGATGACTTGATATTGGCGCTAAGTATTTTAAGATATGGAAGAGTTACTTATTAAACTTATAATAATAATAATATCTCTTTATTACTCATTGACTAAGTTAGTGAAAGAACTCCAATACTAAGGTGAATCATACTATGACATTTTTAAATCACACAAAAAAATATAAAGAACAAGAACTTCAGGAACTTCACTTTAATTCAGTAAGCATTTATATACCGTGTATAATGCACAGTATTCAAAAGCAGACTCAAGCTTTGTGAAGCCTGAAGCTCATATAATATGAAGACTCCTCCACAGAGAATAAATTACACATTCAAACTCAGCCTTAAGACCGTGAAAAAGGCCCATGCAAGTAAGGGTCCCTGAAGCTTAAGTTTCAATAACTTTAAAGATATATATGTGTGTGTGTGTGCATGTGTGTGTGTGTATGTAATAGCTGTTGTGAGAAATCAAAGATAACTATGGCACAATCCCTACTTTGCCCAAGCTTAGAGTGAAATATATGATAATGTTCAAAGATATTTCTATTAAAAAATAACAGAATGGATAAAAAGGGCTTTGATCTCCTAGTAAACAATTTTTAATTCTCATTAGAAAAAAATAATCATTACTCCATATCTTTGTATGGGACAAAGTTGTGTCAAAGTCTTGGATGTGTAAGGTCATTTCTAAAGAAATATGTACCTATAACTCATTGCATAAGACGATGGTGTGTTATAGTTACAATTATTGCAGGAGGTTGAATTGAACAGCATACTCACTATTGACTTTCTTGCAACTCAAGTAACTGTCAACACATGGAATGATGATCTGTTATACAAAGGGGAACAAATGCCAAAGGTCTCTTTTCATGACCTTTAAAAGAAAGAGTAAAATCTTCTCAAAATCCTATTCTGGGCCCTCCCCTGGTGGCACAAGCAGTTGAGCGCCGCGCTATGAAGCTGTCCGCAGCCTCTGCAGCACCAGTTTGATCCTGACCGGCGGGCGAGTGTCCCCCATGTCATGGCAGACCTCTCCTGTCTCGCCCACTGCTCCCCTCAGTGGTGTATTTCATCAGTCTGCCTGTCTGTTCCCTGCTTTGTCTCTGGTGAATCCTCTCACTCTCCCCTGCATCTGGCCTGTATCCCGGTTCTTGGATAAATAAGTCAATAAAAATCTAAAAAAAAAAATCCTGTTCTGCATTGAAAATAATTATGTAACTATTTAATTCTGCTCTCCATAAAATGTAAAGTCACATAAGAGTTAGAAACTGTATGAGATTTTTAAAAATAAAAACCTGAGCATAATAGCATCGATCCATATGTCCCTACATCCATCAATCCAGCCACCCACCCATCCATCCATTGAATTAAGTGTCTCCTGTGCTCTGAGCAGCATGGACACATTACTGATGTCATGAAACCTATAATCTTGTGGGGAAAGCACAATCAGCTGTAGTCCCTTAACAGTTTTCTAAAATTCTCATACTCTCTTCTTGCTGAGAAGTATTTGCTTTGGGTTGTTAGAATAACATTTTTTTCATTTGATTATTTTATATTTGACTCACTAGTCTATTCAACAACTAACTTTTCTGTTGCACAATCTTCCAGTCTCTTCTCCTTCAGTTGAGTTTGTTAAATTTTCTTTTGATTTGGAGTAAAGAATAGTTCCCTTAGTTTGCTCTGAGATGATATACTTACATTTCATGACATGACTGAATGGAAAGAACATTTTATAGTAAACACTGATTCATCATATGTGATGTTGTCTACCTTTCTTGATTGCTTCTCTTCAGCAGCCCTTTCTCTAATTTATATATATATTGCACATATATAATATTTAATAGAAATATTTAGATATATTTCAATATATAAAATATTGAAATATAGATTTATCTACCTTTTCCAAATATCAGGATTGCATACTCACTCAAAATATCCTTTAGATATTTTTTCTTAAAGACAATCACACCTCTCCCTTGTTCTATGATTCATTGAAACGCAGCATAATTAGTAAATAATTGACAACTGTTTTACAGAGCAATTTCCACAAAGGAACTAATGTTATTGTTTGCATTTGTTGATTTAAAGAACAAAATTGCTAGCTAATATAACTATATTCTTGGCCCATTAAATTGCTTAACATTAGATGCAAATAATTTGGTGAAAACGTAGACTTCTTGTTTTGTTTGTAAAACTTTTGTTGTGAGTAGAAAAGATTGGCCACTGACCCAAACCATAGCAAGGCTAATACATGTGACACACAGAAATCAGATTGGAATCATATGAGTGATAACAAGTTAGTGAAGAAAGTGGTTATAGAAAAAGTAAACTTTAGAAAATGAATTTTATGTTCATTTAAAAGAATTTAAATGGTTTTATATGTTAAAAGATTTAAAAATCTGTACTTTCCTCCCTCATGGAATCAGTCTTATATATAAATGCCAGACCTGTAACATTGCCCAAATCAATTGTCTTAAATTCCTACATGTGAGGTATATTTTGAGTTACTTAAATCAGTACACTTTTAATATGTTAACTGTGATATTTCATTAACTTTCTATTTTTATGGTTCATTAAAAACAGTTGTTTGAATCCCTAGAATAATAATTAAATCATAATATTTCTTCATTTTCAAATTATTGTTACAAGATACACAGATCAGTCAATGCCTGTTGTCTTTTTTTTTTTTTTCCTAGTAAAAGGAGCTTTGAGTCCTATAAAATTTAACAGATGGAATCTCCCAGAAGTAGATCCAGAAACTATGCAAACCAGTGAACCATGGGTGTTTGCAGGTGGTGATATTGTTGGCATGGCTAACACCACAGTGGAATCAGTGAATGATGGAAAACAAGCATCTTGGTACATTCACAAATATATACAGGTAGGCATTTTCATTCAGTTAATTCCAGTTATTTTTCCCAATGGATATGTACTTTTTTCATTTATTTCTTGTTATTCATTTATCTGAGTATTTCCATAAGGTACATAATAACTACATAAGAAATATGTTGCATACATTTTTACTTGGAAAAGGTTTTTTAAAATATGGATAGATAAAACTATTTAGTTGATTGAAAATTCATTATTCTATCACTATGATGCCATGAAGTCTTTAATCAGGCTGAGTTCAAATTATTGATCAATGGTTTAAAAACATAGCTGTTACATTTATTAAATCTGGATGGTACACAATATGATCCAAGATAGAATTTATGTTTCTAATGATTGTATACATTCCAGAAAACTAGGTTATTTGTCCATTTACTTCAGATGAAGACCTATCCACTTCTCAAATTATAATATATGTACTAAGTAGAATGAAAATAAATATTTCACAAAATTTTATTATAATTGTTTTTTTTCATTATTTCATTTTATGAGACAAATGAAAATGTAAAAATGATAAAATATAAATTGAACATACTGTGTTCAAGTAGCTGTGTAGTCTTTGGGAAAAAAAAAACATTACTTTTAGGGCTCAATTGTCTTACTTTTCATTGAGTGCTATTTTCTTCTTGTTTGTAATTTAATAAAATGTAAATACAGCAACCTCATTTGCATGCAATCTTTTCAAAATACTCCTTTTGTTAATAATTTTTTTTCTGTTTCCTCTTCAGATAGACAATATTATGCTACCTTTCTCCCTTTTTTAATTTCTCACAAACTAACAAAATTCACTTCATCTTTAATGATTCCTTAAATATTATTTTTCTCTTTGTTATGACCATTTAGTCAAATTGTTGTTCTTCTAGTCTTTCTGTAATTCTTGCAAGACTACTCATCTATCAATTAGGAACTGGAATTGGTACTGATTACATCACCCATTGAATGTTCAGCTCACCGATATGCTCCCACCTCACCCTGGCATTTCTGAAGAGAGGACCTGAATAGTTTGAATTCTGGATCAGAGTGTGGGATCCCAGAAATACAGGTCTCTAAGAATGAATGTAACTGGCCTATAGGTTTGGTCTAGACAAAACTGTCTGAAGAAATGATGACTCTAAATTAAGAATGCTGTACAATTAGTCATAAATCAAAGGGGCTAGGTTAGAGAAGGGAAAAAAAAGAATGCAGTTTTAACAGATAGAAACCAGGGAACCAAAAAAAGGCAAGCTGGTAGTGACTGGCTCCATTCTCTAAAGCACTATGATTTGGAGTCTCTGTGGCTTCAAAATACATAGAAGGAATATTCCAGACATGTGCCTGGACTGACTACTGATTTGGCTCCTTTTGCTCTTTCTGTCCCCACTTACCACCCTATATTTTTATTTCCTCATTCTATTCTCATGTTCATAGAATTATCCAAGTTCCCAAACATACCTCCTGCATAATTCCCTAATCTGTGTCTCCAGTAGGACATGCTCATCTACAATCCAGCTCTCTGCTGAACTCTTCACATGCACGTCAAGCCTAAACTTCAAAGTCACTGGCTGTCTCCAGTCAGATATTTCACCTACACTTCAAATTCACTTCTCTTAAACCAAACATGCCCTCCCCAATCTGTTTTACATCTGCAACTTAACATTTCTGATTCCCATATTCAAGTCCTCTAAATCAGTGGTTCTGGGCCTCCCTGGTGGCATATGGGGTTAAGCACCACACTATAAGCAATCCGAAGCCTCTACTGCACGAGTTCGATCCTGGTCCACCAGGGAGAAACCCACATGGCGAAGCAGACCTCTCCTGTCTTGCCCACTACTCCCCTTAGTAGTGTGCTTCAGGAGATCTGCCTGTTCTGCTCGCCACTCTGTCTCTGGTGAGTCATTTCATCCCCCGCGTCTCTGGCCTGTGCCCCTGCTCTTGTATGCATAAATAAATGAATCTTTTAAATAAACAAATAAATAAATAAATAAGTAGATCAGTGGTCCTTAACACCCTCAGAACTAATAAATTTCCAAATTAATTTGGAAAACAATGTAGGGCTGATAGCTTCTCACCGCTAACAGCATTAAGACAAATGCTGAAACATGACATTTTAACATTTAGCAACATATTGACAAGTATGCTAGATAATACTAGGACACAACGTAATCTAGAAGTGAGTTAAGAAAACACAGGTTTACACTAGATAGAGTGCTTTCTCTCAAAACACACAAATTTCTCAATATAAAACAGCATAGTGGTGTACACCTTTAATTATGAACTATTTACCTAAATTTTCATTTATTCTTCCCTCACTCCATCATATATATCTGGTCAACTCTCTGGTAAAATCTCTTTTATATTCTTTTTTTTTTTTAAGATTTATTTATTTTTTTTTATTTTTATACAAGCACTGGGTACACTCAGAAGCATGGGAGGGTGAGAGAATTCACCAGAGCCAGAGGGGAGAGCAGAGCAGGCAGACTGATGAAGTACACTGCTGAGGGGAGCAGCGGGCGGCAGGAGAGGTCTGTGCGCCATGTGGGACCCTCACCCGACAGCTGGGGATCAAACCGGTGCTGCAGAGGCTGCAGGCAGCTTCGCAACCCAGCTCAACCACTGCGCCACCTGAGAGGCCCTCTTTTATATTCTTACTTTAATTTGCTTTACTTTTTGTGTTAGAGTACAATTTTTGACTAATGAGACATCTCACTGATGCTAACCTGCTAAATTCCTTGACTAAATGAAAGTAGAGTCAGGAGGAAAGATTCTTTGTGTTAAGTCAGAGGAAACCGGTGAAGATGATTCAGTTTGCAGGAGTGAAAATGGTCGGAAGATAGAGATACTAAAGGGATGTGAAAAAAGTAAAGTTGAACATGGGTCAGTGGCAAATGGCATGTGTTAATTTTTTCCTAAATATTTAAATTAATTAATTGCTTTATAATTAAAATACCTAGAAAATATTTACTATATTTTGTGATGGCTGTGGTTTTGTAGTGCTTCACAATTATTGCAAGAGATACTTAAGGGTGTTTTTCTATTGACTTCACTATTTCTATTTACTTTCCTAAATCTGAAAAATGTTTACTGAAAAAAAGAGTGTTCATTTTAATTAGCTTATGAAAGGAAAAAAGGAAGACTTTAGGTATGATGGGAAAAAAGTCCACATGGTATAAAAATACATGTTCCTATGGATGATAGTGTTTAAAATATAAATAAAAATATTGTGACCAGTAAAAGTTTTGGATTTGACTGAAGAATTCAGACTTGTCAAAATGTTGAATCACATTTTGAAAATGGAGTAGAAATGGAAGGCAGGTAAAATTTCTGCCAGGTAAAATCAGCACTTCCATCTTCCTGCCAATTTATTCGATGCAAAGTGCTAAGTACTGATACGACTAAAAAGGACTATAGAGACAAAAATAAGAGTTTCTCTCGCCACACTGTCTTTAATTTAGTTCTGGCCTCTTTCTCCTCTTAAAATTGCCTCCACTTTCCCCCTGTCAAGCCCCTACATTCTATCCAGAGTCATCTTTCTATAATACAAGTTTGATCCCACTTTCCTCACTTAAAAACCTTTCAGAAGCTCTTCTTTGCACTCTAGATAAAATTCAACTCCTTAGATTATGGTGGCAATTTGAATTTCCCCAAATATACCAAAATTTCTCCTGAATCTGACCTTTTCTCTACTCCACTCATCACATCTGTCTGGATCCTCTTTGCCCTTCAGATTTTTGCTTCCTCCTCCTCTTCTAGAACCACATTTCTCCTTGAATGTTCTGTAGCACCATAAGTTTCCCTGTTTGAAGCCTGCTTACTGGTCTCTGTCTTGTCAAGCCAGTGACCATACTTGTTTGTTGTAAATAGCCTCAGTATAGAAAGTGCATTCATCTATTAAATAAGAAAAAAAAAATAAGTAGAGCGATAGTTAATTTTTTAAATAAAGTTTTCTTTTTTTTAAATTTTTTCAGCTTTTTTTTTTTTTTTTTTGGCATGGGAGAATTGGGTGGTATAGTTTAGAGGTTAAGGCATAGGAGAATTGGGTTGTATACTTTAGAGGTTAAGGGAGTGAGAGCATTCACCAGAGACACGGTGGGTTGCAGAATAGGCCATTCACTGAAATACACAAGGCTAAGGGGAATAGTGGGTGAGACAGGAGAGGTCTGCTGCGCCATATGTGGGTCAGCTCCAGGACGGAGATCACACTCAGGCTCTAGTGGTTGGTGATAGCGCTGAGACAACCCCTAGGCCACCAGGGAGGTATGAGTTAATTCATCTTAATGGAACTTTAAGGGCAGTTAAGAAAACTAATAGGTTGGTTGTAAAAAGTTATTAGCACTGAAAATAGTGTTCCTTTTTTTTTTAACAAATGTATCATTCAGGGCCTCCCAGGTGGCGCAGCGGTAGAGCGCTGGGTTGCGAAGCTGCCCGCGGCCTCTGTGGCGCTGGTTCGATCCCCGGCTGCTCCCCAGCCACCGGAGGAGGGTCCCACATGGCGCGCAGACCTCTCCTGCCGCCCACTGCTCCCCTCAGCAGTGTACTTTGGTCCTTCTGCCTGCTCTGCTCCCCACTCTGGCTCTGGTGAATTCTTTCACCCTCCTGCGCTTCTGACTGTACCCAGTGCATGTATAAACAAAACAAACAAACAAACAAATAAATAAATAAAAAAACATGCCTCTATTAAAAAAAAATAAAAAAAAAAAAACAAATGTATCATTCATTAAGCAAAATTGCTATAATGTCTGATGTATATTCATAAATGAAAATTTATAACACCTTGTCTTATCTTTTATATTTGTTTGGGATAATGTGCTAAGAAAAAAATAATGTGCACATGATAATATGAATTCATGCCTCCAATCTTTGTAATAGGATATTTAAAACTTCCTTGTAGTATACTTTTTTAGATAAATGTAATTATTTAAAGACATCCATGTTGGGATTTTAACAATTCCCATAGTTGTCTGAAGAGAGCTTTCACTTTTTCATTAGTTAATTTGATCAATTACCACTTATTGA